ACGCTAGCTGACAGGATCCGAATCCTGCTCCGGGAGCAAGGGATCACCATCGCCAGCATTCTGACGGCATTGGGCTTCATCATATCAACCCTGGTCATGTCGCTGACGCCTGCCGGCGGCAGTGGTACACCAGGTGGCACACCAACACCACCAGGTGGTGGGGGCGCCAGAGACTGGATAAAAAAACACGTGAAATCCCTCGGGGAGGCCCTGGCTAAACTCGCGGGTAAGGCCACCGAAGCCCTGCCCGGCATCCTGGGTAGCATCGTCTCGTGGATGCTGAGCGCTCTGGCTAAAACTGCCATGTGGCTCGGTCAAAACCTGTGGGCAGCCATTGTCGCCGTGGTGGGTCTGGTGTACGTAGCGGCTAAGGAATTTTTAACCAAATGAGACCCAACCCGACCGCGATCACCCCGACCACCAGCGCTGTTTTACGGTCGATGTGCTGCTGATTGGATGCCTGAACGTGTGGGGGCTGGGGCTGTGGGGGTGTGGGTTGAACCCTGGACTCCGGGGTTGGTACGACTATGCCCATTTCACCGGTCGTGGGAGGTGGTACGTGGGGGACGTTGACATCGGGGTTGACGCCCAACTTTTGGTCTGCCGTGGCTACGACTATTTCGTTGTTGTAGCCCACCACTTTGTTGATTCTCAGTCGCATGTCGTACGGAGCCATGTACAGACCCACGTCGAAACACGTAGTCGACTTTCCACCAGGCATATTCCAACACGTCTTGGTATCGTCGGGTGGCACCCGGTAGATTGACAGTGGAGGCTATGGCATCCTCTACGTTAACAACGAACTGTTTCTGAGCGTCGTAAGCAGTCCCCTTACCGAGGATGTTGGAACGCGTTTGCGTCTGCGCAACCAACAGCCCACACGTACGTTCGAATCGAGTCATTCAAGCGTTCGATGCCGGCACGAGTGAACCCCCTCGACATGTCCAACATGAACTTTTTCCAGTCATCCGCTGGCCCCTGCTCAAACCTCCAGACTCGGTAATCCTTGCTTTTGTTGAAAGCCATGTAACGGTCATCCCACTCGTTTGTTGTAAGGTGATGATACGACTTGTACACACATTCTTTCATCTTCTCGCTGACATACACGATAGGCATATTGTGAGCGATGGGGATACCCAACCCATGGTTCAGTCCCGGCAAACGCCAATCCGTCTTCGGGTCTAGGTTAAATTCGTTGCAAATATGTTCTTAGGCCCGTCTATCGTACTGGTTCTTTACTGCATCCCATGCTTTGTTCTGTGGGAGTGGAGCGCTGATCTCTTTGAGGATACGCCTGACCTGGTAGTACACGTGGTACGTGAACACAGACTGACTCAGCGGCCCCCGTTGAGTGTCGGTTAATGTCAAGCCACACCCCGTTGTAGCGCACCACACGGCGAAGTTGAGTTGATCCTGCCAGAACTGCATCGGGCTGTTGAAACAAGCGTGGACTACCTTAGCGTTAGTCACCGAAAACCTATACCTAGCAAATACATCTATAAACTGGGAGCTGAAATACAACCCAGCAGCGTCGACCACAATCTTCATGTGTGGGAAATCTATGTCCAGTTTAGGGTAAAACACTCCCGGGGACTACATTTTTAAAGTATTATATAATGGGTATATATACTCTAACATGTACGTAACACTTCCAGGAATAACGAGCGGTGAGGCCTTTCAGCACACACTCGATAACACGTCGGGCCAACTCGAAGTCGCACTCTGGGATATCACCTACCTACCGCGATGGACTAACATCAACGTCAACAACAACAAGCTGTTCGTCAGTGGCGCCCGCAACCAGATAACTGACAGCTACTACAGCGTGTGCTCACTAAGCAACGAGGTCTTCAAACCCTTGGGAGCCAAACTCAAGATAAACGACTCAAACAGGACAGTGGTGTTAATCAACAACGGAATAAACCACTTGAGGCTCGGTCGACCATTGGCGAGGACACTCGGGATGTCGCCGGATGAGATAAAACCAACTACCGTCACAGGCACGAAGTTACCCGACCTAGTACCGTACCGAGAGCTGTGCATTCATCTCAGCCAGTTGAGCACAACGAACAACATTCAAGGTGGCCACCCTTCCACGATACTGAGAGCCGTACCGGTTAAAACGGAGAAATACAACGACGGTAGAACCGAGTTGTTTTCACCGCGGCAGTATAAGAGGTTAACTCGGGGCAACATCCCTGAGCTGATAATATCGGTGTTAGATATAAAGCATAATCCTGTGAATATAGGATACCTCAGTATAACACTGCACATAAAATTACTAGCGCACAAGGTCCTGGAATGAGGTTGAAAAAATGCATCAATGCGGGGATCTCCAACTTAGGGGACACCCGCGGATTCGACGACCCCGGAATAGATGGTAAACTGTATGCCTTGCAACTGAAAAACAACATTTACAAACGCGTTGAAGTCCCCTCCATCGGTAGAACCCTAGGTGACATAGTAGATGTCTCAGGAGCGGCCCTCAACACTCGGTTCGACCTAGTCCGCATCGGTGATGATAGATGGGCGGTATCCCAATCGTTCGGAGAGAAACTGTTCGACTTAGAAGATGTTGATAGCACGACCGTCGCACGAAACAAACCATATATGCTCGTCTTCACAGACGACGACGACAAGTGGGTGTTGTTGCCCACTAAAGTCGACTGGTTTCTCAACATTAGGCTTGGCTCCCCCTACGTGTTCACGGAGAACAAAGACAACTACCTAAACAAAGTCGTGAACAACAGAACCCTGCTCGTTGCTTACGTCCCGGCACAGAGATGTAGTGTAATCATCAGCCCAGTCGCCAGTATGGCAGCCCACATGCTATCGAGCAAACCGGGAGTGCAAGACGGGGCATTGCAGTTGGTGTCTGAATTTGCTGGCGTGGTCAACATCCTGGCGAGCCTACCGGCGAACTCCACGCTGGCCATCAAAGTCTACCTAGGTGAACCATTGCCGGATGAAGTCGAAATCGTAAAGGGGATCAAACCCCAGTGGGTGAAATGGTACCAGTATCAGGTTTGCACTGTTTACGTGCGGGTGGCTGTCGGCTCCCACACCAGTTTGCAGGGGGTCACCGTGACCGTGGAAGCCACGATATCACTCACCAAGATCTTCCTACCCAACAACATACACTTCATGGGGGTGAAGTGCACCCCTGAGAAATTATCAGAAAAACAGTTGGAAACTATCTTATGATAGTAATATAACAATGACTAGTCATCGACCCAACGCCACGCTTAACGATCTAGGACACATGGAGGGATTCGATCTGCCCGACGAGGAAGACACCTCGTACGTCCTACGCTTGAAAGACAACGTGTATAGGCGGGTGGCAATGGCCGATCATCTACCCAACATCACACTCGGGGGTCTAGTAGACACGGAGGGATTCGATCTGCCTGGCGAGGACGGCACCTCGTACGTCCTGCACTTAAGAGACGGTGTGTACATGCGTGTGCCTCTGGCAGACGACTTTATAGAGCCCGAATGGTTGATCAACATGACCCTCACCACACCTTACGTCTCTTTTCCTAGTGGTGGACCTATCACTAGGGATATCACCGAAATATAGAACAGCGGTATCTTGCTCGGGAGGTTTCATTCCACGGGCCCTTATAATATAAGAGTTTCCCAAACCCCAAATCGTCCGGGCTACATGTTAGATGCACCCGGGAATGCACAGTTATCATTTGGAATATGCGCTGGCCTACCATATTCTAGGTTTATGCCTCCATGGTCCACATTCATCATAGAATTCTTTTTAAAAAACGGTCTTAGGGTTTCCTTACGGGACCTTTTATCTGGGGTGAAAATAAAATTACCACATTCATCTTCATTTACGGAACACCATTGTCGTATCATCATACAACGGAGCTCGGACCCCTCACTTGGGTTGCTGCCCCCCTTAATAAGCAACCATATAGTTAGTATAGAACAAGAGTTACCTATTGACCTTTCCCCTATTCACCTACACGAGAGCGTAGGCCTTATAAGCTTCAAGTACATTGATCGACTATTTACTAGAGCTCAATTAAAAAATATCTTGTAGTATATATTATATGCACAGGATGGGTCTGTACCCAGTCGCAGAGGAAGTCCCGAAGCCACTTGAAACCGTAGACGGGTTCCGCTTGAGACAGTTATGTGACATAAAACGCCAACTAGAACAAGACCGCGACACGCGGGCAGCATTGTATAAGAAGTACCATAGAGCTTTCAATGTCGTTGATGGGGTTGATACCACCCTTATGGCTACCAGTATGGGGTTAGGGGCAGTAGGTGTGGGGTTGTTGGCCACCATCAAAGCTGCACCCGCAGTGCTAGGCATTGAAATAACAGCTGGGGTGTCAGGGTTGGCTGGATTGGTGTTTAAGTTTGTGTCACGCAGACTGCATCGGAAGTCATTGAAACACGACGAGATCAGGATTCTGGCCGAAGCAAAGCTGAACACGGTAAGTGAGCGTATTTCCACGGCACTCACTGACAGTAAGATCTCAGAGGAGGAATCTCGTTCAATCCTCTCTGAACTAGACAAGTACCGTTAGATGAAACAAGAAATCCGGCTCAAGTCTCGTAAGTCTGCTATCGGCGAAGACGAGAAAAAAAGTACATAGAACTAGGGGTGCAAAACATTAAACTGTTTCACACGACATAGTGTCACGTGCTAGTTCGCGGTCATAGCCACACAATAGTGTCACGTGTGGTCGGGAAGTTAACTTGGGGTTCAAAAGTAGTAGATATACTGGGGCGAGATCTAAGGGCCTGACAAAAGCTTTATTTGTGAAATAAAGCTTTACAGAGGCTTTTGTTGGACTTGATCTCGGACTATCATTATATCTACTACTTAGTTTCAAGTCGCAATTATGGGTTTTATTACAGGGGGGTATGCATTTCACTTCAATGACGTTTGTGTGCTGTTGGTATAAAAAGACCAGAAACAGAATGTATGTAAGTTAATCTCAATGATAATCTGATGCTACTCTTTTCTTCAGATTCGGGCGACACTCTTGCTACTGAATGCAATTTGCATATGTAAGTAATCTACGTACTGCCATTATTATAAGGTATGTAGCAGTGTAAGATGTTATACAGTTAAACTATGGTTGATTTGGATTTGGATTGGTTGATTTGTTGTCCTAGTCGGTAGTGGACCAAGTGGTGACATATTCAAAACTTTGGACGTACAAGAAACAGTTATTTAAAGGGTTGAGGATGATGAACATTTGTATTTGAAAAATGTGAATTTCAGTATGAAAGATTGAATTTAGAAGCTGATAACGAAAGCAATGAGGCAACTATGAATTACTGCAAAAATCTGAGAATTGAAGATGACAAAGATTTTCAGCTGAAACATTGAATCATAGAATGCTCTTCCACTCAGATGCTCAACAGTTGTTAAATCATAATATTATAATAATAATAATAATAATAATAATAATAATAATACTTTATTGCCCGCCAAGGTATTCGTTTTACAACAGTGAGACATACAGCATGGTTAAAACAAATTAAGCACAGAAACACGATCAACTTAAAACACACAAATAAACAGGATGAGAAGGATAACCAGTGTATACTGTAAAAGACTAGTAGACAATTGCATTTAAAATTGTGGCTAAGTCTAACATTCATTTAATATTTTAATGCTAACAGGTATAAAAGATGCTTGTGACCTTTTTGTGCGAACTTGAGAGACAAGGAATCTATGTCCAGACGGTAAAAGTTCAAAACAAGAATGTAAATCATGAGACGGGTCTGATAAAATTTTGTTAGCAGACATTAAAACACGATTCTCATACATATGACAGAGGGGGTTAAAATTCATGCCGACAAATGTTTGAACAGGTGGTTACAACTTTTTGTAGTTTGTTTTTGTTTTGGCGAGAAAGGACACCGAACCAACATTGAACAGAGAACAGTAAAATAGATTGGATACAGCAGTTATAGAGAACATTCGAAATGGTATTGTCAATGTTACCAAAGACCTGAGCCTTCTCATAAAAAACATCCGTTGTTGACATTTCTTGTATATAGCCTCGGCATTTTGAGAGAAAGTGAGTTTACAGTCTATGATAGTTTCGAGATACTTGTAATCCGTGACAGTCTCTATAGTTTCACCATGAATTTGCAGAGGGGCACAATTTGAATTTTGCCTAAAGTCAATGATCATTTCTTTGGTTTTTCTAGTGTTGAGCTGAAGGAAGTTTCTGGTACACCATGTTGTGAATTTGTTGACTTCAGACCAATAACCTTCTTCAGAGTCTGTCAGGGGATCGACTAGTGCAGTATCATCAGCAAACTTTACTGTTGAACAGTTATCCTCGGGGCTCTGGCAATCGTTGGTGTTCAGTATGAACAATACCGGGGAGAGGACATAACCTTGTGGGGCGCCAGTGTTGATAGGAGTGATGTCGGAAAGCACGTAGTTGACTTAAACACATTGGGTTCTCAGATCGGACCTGGGTAGTATGTAAGGTGGTAGCAGGACCTGCTTTGCGGGGATCAGAGGGATCAGTCGGATCAGATGTTGATTGGCTTATCCAAGTCACATGGTCACAGTAAGGTACGACATAGACAGGACGTCACAAGTCAGGAATGATTTCAGAAATGTGTGTGTTTGAATGCATTCTTAAAAGAAAACCTTTCAAGAGACGAAAACAAAAGTAAAATGTAATAAATATACAGTCAGGAAGCTGTCTGGCGAGTTTAAATTCAGCGCGCTCTGTGAGGTAGAATTGTGGCACCGCATATTTCAAATAGCCTGTGCTTGGCAGAGCGTGCGACCTACGTTGTTGACTAGAGAGAACTTTATGTTCGAAATGTCAATGGAGGGTGCGACTTGAAAGTTCATAAAAGCACAATGTTGATTAAAAGCATTAAAGTGAGACGTGACTTATCACAGGTCACAAATACGTTAATATGTCCTGGAGTCGGAATGTACTGGAAAGGGACAAAATACAGCAGTTACACAAATAACAACGAGGGGAGATTTGATTCAGGTTAGGCATGTAATTATAATTACTTACAGTCTTACTTAAACAGTTCGGTATTTACCTTAGTGGCCTCGCCAAGCCGAGTCGTTCAAGTTGCACCATCTATACAATCTATTGCTTAACGAGTGAAGTGCTACATTTACCGTATGTATTACATTATAGGTAAGAGTTGGTGTATTGTACATCTTTAATTTTGAAGGTGGTTGAATCAAAGAGGTCATGGGTTTTCACTTGTTGAGCCTTTATTTGTTGTGTATGTGTTATCTGTCATGCATGTAACCGGTATTAAATATATTTCAATGAACAGTGGTGAAGTATGAATGAATGTTCATGTCGGTTTATATCCCGAGACAAGTAATGAATATATGACGTTTGGGAAGAAAACACAGGTTTACAAAACTTTCTTCAACTATATTCAACACAAACTATGGATCCTAATCACGATTCCCATAAGAGGAGTTTGCTTGTATTTCCAATATATCCAATGCCTTATTAATAGATCAAGTACGGTTGTATGACGACTTAGTGAAACTCACAATTGCGGGGGTCATCTCAAAATATATGTGTGGTGTTTTAACAGTGATTTTCTTTTTGCTAAAAACACAAATTTCTTAATGATGATGACAATAAAATAATCAAAACGCTATTAAAACGTAAAACTTGTGACATTTTTCATCATAATTTATGAGTCCAATAACCATTCAAATCGACACAAGCAATCTTAACGGACAGAGAACAAAACGATGAAATCGCTCATGATCTATTTATTAGAAAACCAAAACGGTTATATAAAGCGGTGATGGAAACGGACATTTTCAGGGACGAATAGTCTGTAAAGTCACATTCTGCTGCAAGGTGTGGTAGATAGTTTATACTTCAACAGCTTGATAAGTCAATTGTCGTATGGGAAACACAATTAAGCGTTGTATAATAATTTGAATGTTTAGTTCACCTTTTCACACTGGCTGCTCTCATCTAGTCATTCTACCTTCTATATAAGGTATGGCTATTTCTTATCCATTGACATGCTTTGTAACGATTTCTGTTAAAGGGGTCCCAGTTTCACGACTCCTTTAACGTAACATATGATGGCATTGTGTAATCATATCCTTTAAAGTAGATGGAAACTGGGCGTTTCTTGTCGTAATTTAAGCGTTTGATTTTACGACGTATTTTCAAGATATGTATTAAGGGCTACGAGGGATGAAACTGCATCTTCTCCCAACGGCTAGTTCTGACACTGATACAGAGATACCTTGAACATGGATATCGTTCTGCTCCTCCTCATCTTCAGCATCATCACCACCATGCTCTGCAGCCGTGACAGATTCAGTGTCACTTTGTACTTCGGGCATGTCTATACGTGTCAGGATGTCTTTTGTTTTTGGCTTCAGAAAGAGTATGTTTGAGAATGGATTGCTCCGTGGAAGGATTCATATCTCCCAGACTGTCCAACAGAGGTGTCTGTTTAGAGTATGTGGTCGAGGTCGGAGATCCCTACATTGACGCATTTTTTCAACCTCATAGCCGTTCCGGGTCCTTGAGGGCTAGTCATTATCGTATGTGCAGCGTCACGATGAGGTATCCTATATTCACAGGATTATGTTCTATATCTAAAATTAATAATGCCAACTCCGGGGTGGTACCCCGCGTTAACCTCTTTTACTGCCACGACGAAAACGACTGTTCTATCGTCGTTGTACTTCTCCGTTTTCACCAGTACGGCTCTCAGCAGCGTGGAAGGGCCTTCGGCTTGAATGTTGTCCATCATGCTCAGCTGATCGAGATGAATGCACTGCTCATGGTACGGGACTAGGTCTGGTAACTTCGTACCCGTGATGGTGGTTGTGGGTTTTATCTCGTCCGGCGTCAGCCCCAGTATCCTCGCCAATGGTCGGCCGAGCCTCAAAGTGTTTATTCCATTGTTGGTTAACACCAGTGTGCCGTTTGAGTCATTCATCTTGAGCTCGGCTCCCACGGGCTTGAATACTTTGTCGCAGAGCGAGCACACACTGTAGTAGTGAGACTTTGAGTTGTCCAGACGTGTTATCAATTGCGTGCAGCAGCTGAACGGCCTCACCGCTCGGTATTCCCTGGAGCGTCACGTACATATCGAGAAGTATATCATACATTATATAATATTTCAACATGCACTTCTACCCCAAGAGCAACAACGTAAGTGCCTCTGATTTCGCACACATGAAGATCGTGGTCGATGTGGCTGGGTTGTATTTCGGAGCCCAGTTCATCGATGTGTTTGAAAAGTATAGGCTTTCGGTGGTGAACATCAAGGCAGTCCATGCTTGGTTCAACAGCCCTATGCAGTTCTGGCAGAATCAACTCAACTTCGCCGTCTGGTGCGCAACGACTGGGTGCGACTTGGCGTTGACCGACACTTGGCGTGATGCGTTGAGTAGGTCTGTGTTCACGTTCCACGTGTATTACCAGGTCAGGCGTATCCTCAAAAAAATCAGCGCCCCGCTCCCACAGGACAAGGCGTGAGACGCAGTAAACAACCAGTACCAACGACGGGCCTACGAATGCGTTTGCAACGAATTCGAAATAGACCCGAAGACGGATTGGCGATTGCAGGGTCTGAACCATGGGTTGGGTATCCCCATCGTTTACAACATGCCCCTCGTGGAAGCTAGCAAGAAGTTGAAAGAATGGGGTGGTAAAACGTATGCGAATACTTACGTCATGACGAACGAGTGGAACGATGATCTCATGGCTTTCGACGACAGCAAGGATTACAGCGTTTGGAGGTTCGAGCAGGGACCCGCTGATCACTGGAAAAAGTTCATGCTCGACACGTTGAGAGGGTTCATTCGTGCCGGCACCGAATGCTTGAACGACTCGATTGGAACGTACGTGTTGACGCTGGCGGGTGTGCAGGCACAAACGCGTTCCGACATCCTCGGTAAACAGACTGCTTACGACGAACCTAGATCGTAAAACAGCGCTGGTGGTTGGGGGGGTTGTGGTCGGCTTGGGTCTCATCTGGTTAAAAATTCCTAGTGGCTTCGTACACCAGCCCGG